GCTCAAGTGGTAGAGCGCTAGCCTTGAGTTGAAGAGCTGAGGGACAGCGCCCAGGCCCAGAGTTCAGGCCCCACGACCGGACCAAAAAAAAAAAAAAAAGTATAGGAAAAGAAACAACTCTAGCAGAGTTAGACAATACAAAAATGTCAGGATTTTTAGCTTTTCTTGATTTTTTTTTTGGAAAAAAAATTCAAATTCATGATGCACTGGAGCATTATAGTAAGGTAAAAGAAGACCATATAGAAAAAATGATTTGACAAACTTTGCAAATAATATACCTTCAATCTTCATACTCTCTTTATATGATGGACACATAATATAGGTCAAATGATGATAGGATAAATTTCAAAAGCTTGTGCTATTGGCAAACACAAAAGTCTTTTGTGGTATACTGGGAACATTTTTGGCTTTTCCTTTTTCTTTTTCTATCTTTTTTCCTAATGGTTTGATTATATTGTCCCATAAGAAAACTCACTGTATAAAAATTAAAATTTAAGGGCTGGGAATATAGTTCAGTAGAAATGTTCTATTTCATAACCCAGGAATGGGTATACAAGTTCATATTGTTATTGGTCTTTAAACAGTACATACATATTGCATAACCCAGATCTGTGCACTTTGTACTTCACAAAAATAAATAAAAGTGGACATAAATTGTGTCTAATTCCAGAGAAATGGGCTGAAGATATTTTTTGCCAGTAGCTGTTTGCCTAACTGACAATTTTCCCAGCAGGATCTGGAATTGGAAAGCAGCTTCCCTCTGTTCATTTCCTGATAAATTATTAATGAAGCTTTGAGTTACAGAAGGAAGAGCAGGGAGCACAGAGAAAGCGCTACAGATTTTCTTACCTAACTTTCTAATCCAAAAGTTGAGTGGAAATAGCTGTATAAATTGTGAATGTGACTAATGCCCTATGGATTGCACAGTATTAAATGGTTCAGAGAACAAATTTTAGATATTATGTTTTGCCACAAGTAAGGAAGGAAAAAAGCAAAAAGGAAAGAAGGAAGGAATGAAAGAAGGAAGGAAGGAAAGAAGGAAGGAAGAAAAAAAGGAAGGAAATTTTAGAAATAGGGACTGGCAGAAGCAGACATTAGATATGAGGGAGGTGCCAAGCAGATAGATGTTCCAAAAGCATCTCAGTTTTTTTTTTAATGTTTGTATCTCTTACTGGTATTATAAAGGTGATATACAGATGGATTACAGTTACATAAATCAGGTAATCAGTACATTTCCTTTTGGATGTTACCCTTTCCTTCATTCTTTCCCAGTTTTTCCCTCTTATCCCCAAGTTGTATAGTTGTGTCGTTTATTTTCAACATAGTATCACTGCTTCATTTGCTCACCCTTTGTCCCTCGATTTCTGGGTCATCTCAGTTTTGAAAAAAATAACTATGAAAATATAAACTTCCATACTGAATGAAACAAGCAAATAAGTCTACAGTGAATATCAAAGGTAAGCCTCAATGTTCAGTGTCTAATTATTAAAGATATGGCAAAAACATCAGGGTTGAAATGCTGTGAATAGGCCAAAAGAAGAGACTTGTGGTGTGAATGTGTCTTCACACTCAGGGGATTTTAGGGCATCTGTTCAGCAAAGCTGTTAAAATAACCACGTGACTGCAAATATTGCTTGTTTAAGCCATATCTATACTTGCAATAAGGTTTTTTCCCCCCTACATCCCTGTGTTCTGGTAGAAAAGTGCTATATTGTGTGGAAGTGTGATTTACACATCTAGCTTTCCACAAAAGCCTATTTTCTAAGAGAAACAGGCTGTTGTTCTGGGCTGTCAAAAAGAATAAAAGTGCCATCAATGGGAGACACAAAGAATATTCTAAGGAGAACTTACTGGGCAGATTTAAAGAATGCCTGAGTATGCTTGGGTGCAACCAGAGTGAAGAATGCAGCGTAGGCTTCCTTGACTCCTTGTTCTATGTTCTGAGTGCTCAATGCATATACAGACCAACCCCAGAGGCAAGGCCAATGTGCTCACAACTCTACCCCATGCAATTCCCACAATCCATGTTTAGAATGATGCCCCATGGGGGTGGGGAGCACAATGGCCTCATCAACAAGCACTTAGAACTAAACCAGGAGACACTAAACTCTCACAGAATAAACACTCCTCTTTTTCCTCCACCAGGAACGTTCATTATATTCAAATGTAAGTAATAGTTTTTTTTACATCAGAACAAAAATTGGTTATGCTTTGAGTATATACATGAGACTCTATGAATTTATATCAGCTAAATATTAGACTTCCAAAAACCTTCCTGGTTTGAATAGGTTATGTGGGGCTTCTTCCCAAATCCTGTTTATAGTACATTGGTGAAACAAGTACTTATTCTCTGCCATTTAGCGGGTAAACACTGCTCACTACAAAAATAATTACTATTGACTATCTTGCTCTTCATTTTAACCAAAATGAATCAAGGGAACCAGATTTTACATAATAATCATATGATCATAGTCAGAAAGATTAAATGACACAATTACTGCTTTTTTTAGTAGCCATCTTATACTGATTGTAAAAACTGATTTTGCTAAGATCAATAATAAGATACACAACTTGTATTTTAAGTTCTGCTATTATATATCTGGCATTAAGCCAAGTCAATTTGCATAGAAATTTATTTGAATTCATCTTGCCATCTGGAAGGAAAAGTATTTGTAAATGATGCTAATCTTGAATTAAGAATCCGTTAAATACAAACCAGAGATAGTCAAACAGTGGAAAACTATGTAACTCATAAACTCAATTATAAAAGAGCATACTACAGATGGATATTCTTGTAAATTATGCATACGAAATACTGAAAGGAAATGTACCCAAATATTAAAGTGATTATCTTTGAATGGAAGGTTACTCTATTATTTTTACTTATTGTGTGTTCTGCATTTGTAAAATATTTTTCAAATTGCCCTCATTTAGCATATATTACTTTGGTAATTAACAGGAAACCCCCCAACTATAATGAAATAATGGAGCGTGAGTCAGGTATTAGAAGTATTTGGGATAGAAAAAAGGTCAACTTTACCTGTGAATAAGACATCTCCACCATCTAAAGTTGCATTTTCATCTTTCATCTCTACTATATTGAGCTGAAGCTTTTCTAATGCTTCTTTCATCATGTCCACCTGTTGAGAACAAAATGATTCTGGTTAGCAAGCTATCATCCCCTAGTTAGAAAATCTTCTGACCACTAAATCTCAGTCCCATGTGTGCACACATACACTTATATGCAAACACACATATACAGGGGTTAACACACACACACAACACCCTCATTCTTAGGAATACATGGATGCATATATTATACAGTATGGCTAATGGTGATTTTTTACTTTTGTGAGACTGTTTTGAACTCATGACTTTGCTCCTGCTCAGCTGGCTTGCTGTGCTGGCACTTTACTACTTGTTTCATAGCTCCAACCAGGCTTTTTTTTGCTGGTTATTTTGAAGATATAATCTAGTGGACTTTTCTGCCCAGGCTGGCCTTGAACCCATGAGCCTCTAAATCACAGCTTCCTAAGTAGTTAGGATGGCAGGAATGAGGCACCAGTATCTGGTTTGGTCATGATTATTTTCAAGAGAAGAAATGTTCTGTTAGGAATGGCCTACGTTCTCTTCTAGTCTAAGCTTGAGTTCATAGTACATTTTGTTGTTGTTGTTGAATTCTTGCTAACCAGTGAGGATTAGCTGGAGGCTGACCAGGTAGGACAATGTCGGAGGCTGATCAGTCGCAGAAGATGGAGAGCCTGTCACCTAGTCGGAAGACTGTCCTTGACAGAAAGTACTAGATTTACTTTTACATCTGTCAGAATGACACATAGAGAAAGCAACAGTGGAAAGAATATTAATAACTCGTAACTTAAAATGTTAACTTATAGGATAGTTGATGTTTTGTATTCAAGTATTTCCTAAAATGCCCAAACATCTAAGACTTCTCTGTAAGTCTAAACTGTTACTGAAGTCGATCCTTAAATAACATGATTTCCTGTCATTTACAGCTGAGTTCCCTAGGGGTGATTAACAAATTTTGTAATTGCAATGAAATCAAAGAATATTGGAAAGGAAAAGGGATTTTAGGATTCTGGATGGGTCTAAAATATGAAGATATTGTGTGCTAAATTAGGGAACACTTCTAGTGAGGCTTACTTCAGAAATAACTTATTTTATTTTTGACAAAGGGTCTTGCTATGTAACTCAGGCTATCCTCAAACTTGAGAGCCTCCTGTTTCAACCTCCTAAGTGCTAGGATGACAGCCATGTGCCATCATGCCCTTTAAAGCTTACATTTATGTGGGCTGTGTGTGTGTGTGTGTGTGTGTGTGTGTGTGTGTGTATTGATCCTGGGCTTGAACTCATGGCCTGTGTGCTGTACCTGGGTGTTTTTTTTAAAATTGAATATATGTGCATGCATATACTCACACATACATTTTTAACTGTATTTTTTGTTTTTACTTTTTTTGTCAGTCATGGGGATTGAACTCCGGGCCTGGGTACTGTCCCTCAGCTCTTCAGCTCAAGGCAAGCGTTCTACCACTTGAGCCACAGCACCACTTCCTACTGTATTTTTTTGTCTTTTCTTTTTGGTATTGGGGAATCAAATCCAGAACATTGCATTTGGTAGGCAAATGCTTTGCCACTGAGTGACATCCCAGCCCTACCTGAGCGTTTTTGCTCAAGGCTAGTGCTCTACCACTTGAGCCACAGCTTCACTCCCAGATTTTTTTTCTTTTTCTTTTTTTTTAATTATGAAAATACCACACAGAGGAGTTACAATTACATGGGCAAGATAATGAGTACATTTCTTATCAAGCATTGTAGCCTCCTCCTTTGTTTCTCCTTCCCATCCCTTCCCATCCTCCCTCCCCCCTGCCCCTTCACCCAATCCTCCTCCCACCCCCACCAAAGTTGTAAAGTTCATTTTTTGATATAACAACTTGTACATCTCATTGTTGCAATGGGTCCACCTGTATCCCTATTTAAACCATTTGTTTTTTTCCTTCCCCTCCACAAATTATACCAACATCAAATACAGTGAAAGCAGGGGTTATCTATGGGGGAGGGATATACAAAGCAACAAATAAATCATCTCATATATATGTTAGAAACAATCGCATGAAAGTAAAAAACATTTGAATACTTATCTCGGGATTCATTTCACCTACCATCAACATATCTGATCTTTTCTGCTTGTCTCAGACATATACTAGTTATTACAAATAAGGGAAACCATGGGGCCTATGTTTCTTTGGGCCTGGTTTATTTCACTTAATATAATTTTTTCCAAGTCTTTCCATTTCCTAACAAATGGGGCAATGTCATTTTTTCTGATGGAGGCATAGAATTCCATTGTGTATATATACCACATTTTCTTGATCCATTCATCGACTGAGGGGCATCTGGGTTGGTTCCATATCTTAGATCAGATTTTTTTTTTTGGTGGTTAATTGGAGATAAATGTCTCATGGACTTTCCTTCCCAGTCTGGCTTTGAACAGCTACCCTCAGATATCAGCCCCCCAAATAGCTAAGATTACAAGTGTGAGCTAACAGCACTTATCTTAGAGCTTACAATTTAAGTCTTTCCAGAAGTTCAGTAGAAACAATTTAAATATTTGTGGAACTTCATATGGTAAAGACCTGTGTTTGAGAAGCCATGAACAGGACTAAGAGAAAAATAAAGAGATCACATCACAAGGGGCAAAACAGATATTCCTACCAAGTAACAGCAGGCCAAGTACACTGGGCAAATTGTCATGGAAGAGGCATCAATATAGCAAAATCACTTCTAAAGTAATAAAAATATGGAAATACTTTGACAACAAGGCTGACATTCATGCACTCAAAGCCATTAAAGAGGATACAGAATAAAATAAATATACCCTCTCATCCTTGTCCTGGAACTCATGTTAAAATTCCACAAACCAGAATGACTCAGAACAATAAAAATTATTTCCATGGACAAAATGGTCTTGATGTTGTACTAAATAGATCCAGTGATCTCTTTTAATAGCAGAATAGGTTTTTCTATGTAACAGGAAGTGGAATCGTTGCTATAGCATAGCAAAGGATCAAAACAACATTTAACATGACTTGGGTTCCTGTGAACCCAGGAAAACATACAAGTGATTGATCCAGGGAACTCTGCTTCTATGCCCGTGGAAAATTCAGAACTAAGAGCAAAACATGAGAACAGTCACCTTTTGCTTCTATTGCTAATACTGCTGTTTCTATTACAGAGAAACATTACAAAGATTATGAGGGATTCAGCAGCAACATAGATTTTGGTCTGAAAACTTCATTTGTAACTATGGAACATCTCAACTCTGAACTTTATTCAACCCTTGAATTAAAGAACAGAAAGAGGGAGGCTGCTATATACCAGTTTCAGAAACAGTATTTTTTTAAAGTCCTGTGTCTTTCAAAATTAAAGTTTTAGTGGATGAAATGTTTGTGGCTTCTTAAAAGTTAAAACAGCTGCACTGACATGAAAACACTGGCTTTTGTGCAAGGCATTTTTTTCCTTCTATATTCAGTCACATCTATATAAACAAGTCATCAAGATAGGTCCATACCACAAATGTGCACCATATTGTATTACTTTCAGGGTTAAGTATATTGACAAGACCTAAAAAAAATTTAAATGTCAAGTAAACAATTTTGAGAAGCACAAGACCATTTGGCACCAAATTGGCAAGGATAACCCAGGGAGATTTCTGGAGAACAAAGGAGAGGCTGGACCCCAGCCTGTCCATTGAGAACCACATGCACTTGGCCCAGAGGCTCCAGCGAAGCACTGAATTTAGCTGCAAACAGGCCCAGAATCACTCTGACATCTGGGCCCAAAGCCAGCCAGCTATTCAGGCTGTTAGAACATTAAATATAACCATAGTAGTGGGAACTTTTGCAGGAAAAGATCCAAACCATGAGCCTTCAAGAAACTGTTCACTTTGCGGTTACACAGACATGGCTAATGTTGACTTAATTAACTTTCAAGAGGAAAAAAATGACCAAACAACACACCCACCTTTCAGAGAGACCCTAACCCTACAGAGGGGAACTTTTTATTACTCAGAGGAGCAGTTAGAATAAACAGTATTAATTCCAAAGGCTGAGTTGAATGGGTCACTTTAACCCGTAAAACTAGGAAGGGTAGATAAGAGAAACAACCTAGGTTTTTCTTTGTGGTTGTTGTTCTCAATGTACTACATGATTTATTTTTGCTTTTGTGTTTTTCCCCCTATGGTTTATTCTCTGTTGTCACAGTACTCGATATTGGTACCCTAGATATTGTATATGTTTATCTGAACTATGGAAGGGAAGGGAAACAACAAAATGGTGAGACAAAGGACAAAGTGGGAAAGTGGGAATTTATGCAACAGCAATACTCACAATATGTTGGAAAGGATCTTTACAACTTGGGGGGGGGATTGAGGAGAGGGAGGGAAAGAGGGAAAAATAATGAGAAAGGGGGTAAAACAAGTTAGACAAGAAAAGTAATCATTACCTTACTTATGTAACTGTAACCCCCTCTGTACATCATCTTGACAATAAAATTTAAAAAATAAAGAGAAACAATCTTAGAGAATGTATGAGTTTTCATATTTTTCTTTTTAATTTCTTCTTTCTTTTTCTTTTCTTTCTTTCTTTTCTTTTCTTTCTTTTTTTGGCTGTTATTAGAGCTTGAACTCTTGTATGGTTTTTCAATCTAGGCTGATACCCTACCACTTAAGTCATACCTCCACTTCCAGCTTTTTAATAGTTAACTGGAGATAAAGAGTCTCACAGACTTTCCTGCCAGGATTGGCTTTGAATAAGAATCCTTAGATCTTAGTCTCCTCAGTAGCTAGGATTATAGGTGTGATCCACCAGCACTAGACCTTTCTTCCTTCCGTTTTCACAGAACATGCACTTTGATCTCAGTTTTTAAAATGTGATATTCCTATTTAGTTTTGCCTCATTTTTTTTTCTCCTACTCTTTAGCACAGATTTCTTTCCTGGTCATAGTGGCTTCAGACAACCTCTCCTTTCACTTATCCAATGCATACTTCTTTCTTTTCAAGAACTGGAATAGTGTTGATGTAATTATCTTTTCTTTCCCTTTTTCCTCCTCTCCTTTCTTCCTTACT